CTAATTCGAGAGAGTAATACTCACACATCAAATGACCAAAAATAGGCAAAAAAAATGGCTAGAATTGCATAAACTATTCGCAAATTTATATAAACTATTTACAAATAGTATAGGTTAATTCGCAAATAGCCAAAAACAGCCAAGAATAGCCAAGAATAGCCAAGAATAGCCACTGCTTTTTGTGCCATTTTTTTTGCCGATTTTTAGCATTTCGACCTGTGACTGTGGCGCAGCAAAATTCTATTTCAGAAAGAATTACGTTAATACTTATTTAATTTAACCTTATCTGAAACGATGAGCTTTATAAATTTACACACAATTTTATAGTTGACGCCACCTCAATTTAATTTTAAACATAAATTATGTCAACACAATTTCTTTCAAAATTAAGTCAAAATTATATTGAATTATTGGAAGATAATGAATACTATAGTTGGTGAGGATCCTAATGTAAAAATTTTTCGTGCACATATAAATGTTACCGTTCTCCATATTTGTGACGAACTTTTGCTATTAGTAAAAAAAATAAGGATAACGTTCTAGTTCATAATAAGTTACCAAATATATCACCTGAAATCTTCCAAATTGTTTTAAAGTAAGTTTATTTATAATAAATTCAAACGTATTACCATAATCAAATATTCAAATACGAAATTTAAATTATTAAAATTTTGTTTTATAGGTATATTTATGGTGGCATTCTTTCACTATATGAACAAGACACTTCAGAGATATATAAATTTCATCTGCCACAGATGAGCTGCTTCTTCAAGAACCAGTTGATTGTTTACAAAAGTATTTAATTGAAAATAAATCTGAATGGATGGAACAACATTTTGAACTGTTCATAGAACAAGCTTTCAATCAAATTCTGAAGTGTTGGAACTACAACAATTTTGCATAAATTTTATGGCAAACTCTCCAGAGAAAATATTAAATCACTTGATTTCACTTCGCTCCTGAAAAATCTTTAGTTCAACTGATTAAAAGAGACGATTTACAAATGAAAGAAGTTGAAGTTTGGCCTGTTTGGGAACACGTGTTAAAATGGTGTCTTGTCCCACACTTCTTTCAGATAGTACTTGGTAAGATGAAGATTTCAAAACAATGGGAAATACTTTAAAACATTGTTACCCTAGGTTAGTTTTTTTTAGTTTATCATCTAAAGATTTTTTACAATTGTAAAAACCTTTTTGAGCATTAACTTTACGAAAACTCATTAAATTCTCATTTGGATCCTGATAGTGAACCAATTGACAATATTTCACTTCCTAGAAGTATAAAAATTGATGGAATTATTGATTCAAAAATTGTTAATAATTTAAATATTATTTCAGTAGTTTCAAGACGGATTGATAAAATAGGTATTAATAATAAATTTGATCACTTAAGAGAATTGTATTTACCCTACAGATTCAATTATTATTAAGAGCTAGTCGAGATTCACTCCTAAAAAATTTCACGAATTATATAATAATATATACTTATACTGTAAAAGTAAAATTTATTAAAGTTGCAGGAACGGAAGAAATTCTTGGTGGATATAACCTTTTGAAGTGGGAATCTTTTGGTGGTTGGATTAAAAACAGAGATTGTTTTATTTTTTTCTTTTAAAAATAATAATGCTAAAAATGCAATAATTAGTAATATAGAAAATACAGATTGAGCATTTTATTATGGTTATACCTCTGACAATTTGATGATAGAATTGAATAAGGCTGTTCTCAAGCATCTCCCTCAATTAAATCTGATAGTGATGTCATTGTGCTCAAGTATCACAATCAATAACGAGATCAATAGAATTACAAGCTTGAGAATGCCTCTTTAATGGTTTAACAAATTTTTTAAGCAACACTTTTTTTTATGATAACTAATTTTATAGTTTTCATCATGCCTAATAAAAAATTCAAATGATGATATTCTTCAAATAGTTATCTTCCGGTTAATAAAAACCTCACCCAGTTGCCTTAAATGATTTTATGAACTTCTTTGCAGAAACTATAAAATTTTTTCCAATGTTAATATGATGCTGATGTGGTATCAATAAAATACCAATATTATTCCGATCCAGTTTATATTCCTATATATAATGATATGTCACAATACACTTACCATTAAGTAATGGTAAAAATAATGTCACATCATTGAGTATCATTACAATGTTATAAGATAGTAATCTGCGATTTCCTGATTGTATTTCATCACATTCAAATCCTTGTATTATAGTTGGCAAACTTGCACCTCATGGCTATGCAATTCTGTTAGACTGTTACATTCCAAATTCTTAGTAAATGAATAGCTGAACTTTGACTTATTCCTAAAGTTTGTTCTAATGTTCTTATTTCTACTCCATTTACCAAATGTCATAATACAATGGCAATTTGCTTCCCTTTCCAATCATATAATAATTGCATTAAATGTAGGAAAATATTTTCAAAAAGAATTGTGGTCTTCATCTGTTAAATATAGGAAAATATCTACCAAAATCCTTCTTTTTTGCTGGGAAATTTTTGAGTCCAGATAAGTAAAATATGGAATAATAAGGTACTTTCTATAATTTGAGTAAAAGTTAAAAGATAATTTGTTAGTGTCAAAGTTTTTATTATTTCTTTAAAAATTTCTTGCATTAAAAAGATCTTGCTGGAAACTCATTTTTTGTTATAAAAAAATAAAATAAATTGAATTGATTGAGCATCTTTTATCAATTGAAGATCATTGAGGAAAAAAGGTAGTTGTCAACTCATTTATTGATTATCAAAATAGAATATGCAATATGCAGGGTATTTCATCCCCACAAAATTAAAATTTTAAAAATTAGAATTGGAAGTTTATAAAGATTTGTAGAATTATTAGTACAAATTCTCATTTTAAAGTAAAATTAACTATATCTTATTTTTATTTTAATATTTAAAACATGTGAATTAAATAATATTTTATTATAAAAATTGTAAAGCATAAATATTAATTTTACATTTGTAAAGGTAAAGGTTGGGCAGCAATTTTTTCTAAATATTCATATTCTTCAAGCATTGATTTATCTACAATAAAAGCAAAAGGATGTAAGGATGCAATATGTACTTTTAACCAGTCTGAACATCAACTTAATGCAACATTTGCTTGACTGAAAACATATTATAAATAAAACTAAAAAGTGCACTAGATACCATTGAAATTTCACCAATTATTAAAGTATTAATAGTTCTTAAATATTTAAAAAAATCAAGATCATAAAAAGCTAAAGATTAAAATCCACCAAGTGTTTCACATATTCTTAATGCAGAATGTATGTTTCACCTCCAATATTTGTTGCTGCTACACCAGTTGGGGCTAATAACAAATAATTTGATTCTTTGTTTTTTAAATTTTTAACTATTAAGTTAATTATAAATGACTTTCCAGTACCAGCTGAACCAGTTACAAAAAAATAAGAATATTTATTTTTTTGATGTCTAGGACCTAAAGTATTGCAAATAGTAGATAGTGCATTTAACTGATCTTCTGAAAGATTTAATATATTGCATTGAGGAAGAATTGGAGGATTAATTGTTAAAGATACTAATAAGTTTAGATACTACAGAAGGAAGAATAGGTTGTAAATTGTTAATTAAATAATCTAAAATTTGGATAAATTGAGAATCCAATTTTAGTTGCTGAGAATGCAAATAATCTTGTGTAATTTGTTGTAATGTTTCATTAAATTCAGGATGATGAGATAACCAATGCTCTTAATATGTTAAAAAGTTTACAAGAAGTTCTTCTTCACTTTTACAAGGAATTTCAAGTAATAATTTTTAATAAAAAAATAATTGTCCATTATATAAAGTTAAGTAATAAAATCTAACTAATTTTGGTACAGTTCTTTTAACTACATAATTTCCTAATTCGTCAATATAAACTGAATGTCTGGTAGTTGGATGAGTCATTGTTATTTCATAATTTTGAAAATATTCTGAATATATTATATTAGTAAATTCATCATCATCTGAATGATCAAAATATTTTTCACTATGATTTTTCCATTATCATTTTCATTAATTAAAAAAATAGGACAAATAGCTTTTTGTTGATTTGTAGGAGGATCTTTGTAAGATAAGTAACAGCACATGAAGAATTACAAATTGTTTCACCTTATAATAAGAATATCAATTCCATAGAACCTAATCTGTGAACTACTACATGTTCTCTAAATTTGTCACCTTCTTTAATATTAAAAACATGAGTAGGCTCAGCTTTTGCTATATATTTTGTTAAATAAGAGCATCCCAAATCATTAAAGTTTGAGAATGATAAGGAACTATCCATTGGTCTTCAGGTTTTATGCATTTGTATATACATTGTTAAGTATCAGTACCAAAATACATATATAAAAAATAAGAACAAGGAAATCCTTTTTTATAAGTATGTCCTGGAGCAGCTGGACCTTCACATTTTGAACTGCATATATGAATTTGATTTGCTTTAACTTTTCATATAAATCAGGTTCAGTATTTAGATCTGAAAGATCAAATCTTATAAGATTTTCATTTATCATTTGTTCAATACTTTTTGAAGTCCAATACATATACATCATAAGTATGTGCAGCACCACAATTTTGAAATTCTACTCTTTCAAACAAATGATTTATATTATCCCATTCAGAATGTTCTGGATTTTTCCAAATATAATTTTTAAGTTGTTGTAAATGATGAATAAAGTGTAATGTAGTATGTATGTAATAATCTATTTGTTGGAATGGTATCATTATTATCTGTTACTTTTAAAATTTTATGCAAATGTTTCCAGTGACTTTTAGCATTGTAAGAGTAATAAATGATGATAATAATCCATATGATGATATCATTGTATTTATCACCAGTACAGATAAATGTAGGTAAATTGATTCATCTATTATTAAATTTTCAGAATAAGATGATTGTTTAATAATCTCTGCTGCAGTTGGTAGATGATAAATTTTATCAGCCTGATTTTACCTCCAAATACATTGATTATTTTGATGATTTCAAATTTTTTCTAATTGTAATGCTAACCATTTGGAATGAAGTCTAAAATGTGAATCAATGTTAAGTACTTGTTGTTTAATATATTTGGAACAAGTTTCATCACATGTTGATTTTGAATTAGAATTATTATCATGATAATGTTTTTTTCCATTAGGAAATAAATTAGGAAATAATAAAGCTTCTAAATTATGATCATTTATAGCTAATGGTAATAAAGTATTATCAGATGTTTTAACAAAAACCTGCCATTAAATGAGTATAATGATAATCTTCATTATGAATTTTAACATTAAAATTAACATTAGGCACTACAATATTATTAGGTAAATATGGTGGTGCAGAATCATCATCAGGTAAATGGTAAGCACTATGGAATGGATTAGCTGTTTGTGAACTTGGAAAATCTAAAAGTTGAGAATAATTATTTTAAAAAAGAATTATTTTGTTTAACCAATCAGCTGCTTTAATCAATGTATCATCAAGCTAAGAATTATTAGATGGATTTTCTTTAAGATAGGCACTGTCACCAACATCTGCCACTATTGGTAAACTATAATAATATACTCTAGCAATAAATTCAATATGCTTGGTTTAGGTTTTTAATTATAATTTAAAACTTCAATAATTTCATTCTCTATTGTTCATTAAATATATTAAATTCAGACTAACAGAACTCTAACATTCATGTCTTTCAACATTATTTTATATGATGATATTATTTCTGGATTTAAGATTAATATTAATTAACTCTCAGGCAAACCATGAGCATATTCAAAATAACTTTTAATAATTAATATCTTTATTTTATAAAAGAACTTGAGCCAAAGCTACAGTAATTAAGAGTCTAAAAGACTTGAGCTCAAAAGAACTACAGAATATCTATCAAATTCTACCTATTTTTATAACCATTATCTCCTAATTCCTAATCTTCTAATTCTTAAATTTCCTTCAAATTTCTAACTAAACCTTCCAACTAAACATTACATCATCTAAGCCTTCCAACTAAGCATTACATCATCTAAGCCTCATAGCCTAAGCTTTATAGCATTACATCATCTAAGCCTCATAGTCTAAGCCTTATAGTATTACATCATCTAAGCCTCATGTTGCTTCATCATTACATTATTGTACCACTTCTCACATAATGATCACATGATACTACTAAATCAATCCTTTCATACAACTAATAGTCTATTCTTAATAACTTATCTAATAAATCCTATACTAATTACATTTGGAATAGGATAAAGAAATGGAAATCTATATCTATTGTTAAAATTTTTACAGGATTTATATACAGCAATATGTTTAGGAGGTCTAGTATAAAATGTTAATAATAATTCAGGTTCACATTCTGGATATTCTTCTAAAAGAAGATATGGATAATTATCATCATAAGGCAACCATTCACATTTTAATGGATGCATAAGATGAATCATTTGTAATAATATAAAGTTTTAATTCATTGCTTCATCACAAAATTAAATGATTAACATTTTTACATATTCAAAAAGAACTTTACTAAAAGTTTAATGCACTTAATCACTTATAAATCATTCAAATATAAGATTGTAAATTATATATAGTATCAAACCTGCAATTTTTAATAATAATAGTAACTGAAACAGTATCTATTAAAAGTTAGTCATTCTTTTAAATGAGATAATATTTTTAATTTACAATTTCAAATTATTTTTTTAAAAAAAATTTAAGTCTAATAATTTGTGTTAAATATAACAAGATTAATAAAAATGTGAATAGCGAAATGAAAATATAAAATGTTATCATTCAACATCTGATAACCCAATAAAAAGTTTTTGCATCAATTTGTACTAAATATATATCCATAAGTTATACACTATTAAAGTTGCCTGCCTAAACCTCTCCAAAATTCTATGATTAGTTTCTCTAAGATTTTACTATAGTTTTATTATAGTTTTGGCAAGGTTTTGGCAGTTTTGGCATTTATAATAAGTTTTGTCAGGTTTCGCTTTTCTCCAGAGTTTCGCTAACTTTTTAATAAGACTTTCATATAGTTTTGGCAAAATTTCACTATTTCAGCATTTTGCCAACTTGCCAAAACCCCCTAGTTTCTCCAGCAACCTTATACACTATACAATGAGCCCATTTGGCACAAAATTTGATTGTATATATTTTAAGTTTATTCAAGTTGTAGTCCAGCTTTAAGCTATTTTTGTATATAAATTTATACTATTTTTATATCTAAATTTGTGCTAAATAAGTGCCATTTTTTTATATAAAGTTATATTTAATATATTTTAATTATGTGCCATTTTGAACATAAATTTGTATTGTATGAGTAGGACAAACTTGGGGTTCTGGAACAGCAGCTATCACATAGGTATAACCATAATTTAAGGTATCCCCAGACCACCTCGCCTTGTTTTCTGATATGATAACACTATACCTGTTTTTCTATCCCCAGATCACCTCACCTTGATTCCTGATATGATATTACTTGATAGCTATAAAGAACCCCAAGTAGGGATTGGAATCGATTCCCATTATTAGAATCAATTCTAAAATCGATTAATCGCGATTAATTGTTTTGCAAATACTGATTTTTTTTTATACTATTTATAATAGGTGTGTTTAAACACATATCACATAATTACAAAAAAAATTACAGTGATCGATGAACAAATTTCCTTTTTTGGAAATTTGTACAACCTTGTGCGATGGCAACTTGAATTTTATTGGGAGATAAAATTTCCTTTTTAGGAAGTTTGTGTTCAGTCACGTGATTAGCGGGAAGAATTATGAATTTGGCAAAAATTAACTATTATGAACAAATAATAATTTACGGTCAAATTAACAAAACTGCGCCACAATAAGTAGATTCGATTTTTATTCGAGATTCGATTTAAAATCGATTCTTATCGATTTTCAATAGTTTCGATTTTAATCAAATCTTTTCCGATCCCTACACCAAGTATTGTAAATAAGATTAAAATCATATATTCCTAAGCATTATTAGCACGCATGAATCCATTCCAAAGTATCATAATTTTATGCTATATCAGATTGTCTTTATAAGTGCCAAAGGTATGAAGGACACGAAGTGTCTGTAATACTGATGGCACGATTCAGCAATCCATTGTGGCATACTATTTTTATGATACTCTAAAAGGGATTCATTAAATGATTTAAGCCATTCATGCTCTAACCAAAAATTTTTAACAGGAAAACAACTAGATATGTTTTAAAGCTTTTCCTGCTATATGAAAAAATCTGGGACAACAGGTCTAACCAAAAGTCTAACCAAAAATCCGACCCAGGTTTAGCAATTGCAATTCAGCATCAGTTCAGGTTGTAACATCAATATAACCTGAATGACCTGTTGACCTGAAACTATGATTTTATATTATAAGTGAATTATGGTATTATAATTCACTTTTTATATTGATTTTATATAATAAAAGTGAATTGCGATATTGGGAATCACTTTTTTACATTGATTTTATATAATATTAGTGAATTGCGGTATCAGAATTCACTTTTTTATATTGATTTTATATATAAAAAGTGAATTGCGGTATCAGAATTCACTTTTTTATATCGATTTTATATATAAAAAGTGAATTGCGGTATCAGAATTCACTTTTTTATATTGATTTTATATTTAAAAAGTTAGTTGCGGCATTGCAATTCACCTTTTTATACGATTTTAATATAAAAAACTGAATCGCAATATTTCAAAAAAAATGTTTTGCACCATTTTTTTTTGATATTTTTAATATAAATCCTGAAAATTTTCAGGTTTCAGTTCAGGTCAGGTCAAATAGATAACCTGATATGACCTGACCTGACCTGACCTGAAAAAAAATTTCAGGTCAGGTTTATCAATTTATCTGACCTGACCTGACCCATTCGGAACTCTAGTCACAAGCTATATTTTCAGATGTTTGTGTTGAAATGGATGAATCAGAGCAAAATGATTATTGGACAGATAATGGCTTATATTATGCAAAGGTAAAATTAATTGTCATATATTAATAAATTAATTATCATAATAAATAATTTAATATTATTTTATAGAGATTTGTATTTTACGCACCATGCATATTACGCATCCCGTGCGTATCAATTTTAGTGTGCACGGGGTCAATTTAAATTTTTATATTTTTATTTCTCATGTACACGTGATCAGATCATTATTAAGCTTATTGTGGCTTCGCTGATTATTTTTCTTATCACTTCTCCTCTTCTCCTTTATTTCATAATTAATATTTTAATTTTTCCTTTATTTTTACCTCCCTCAAACCAATATGGATGACTCAGACTCCATTTTTAGTGATAATTCTGATGCAAAAACCTTTACCGATGAGTTTTTTAATAATATTCCGGAGGATAGTGATGAAGAGGAATGTTTTATCGAAACTATTGATAATTCTAGTGATGATTTAACATTAGAAGTTGGTATGACATTTTTTACTTGGAAATCTGCATATGACTATATTAAAAGATGGTCACTCCAACAAGGCTTTTTTATTCGACAAGGAAGATGTGTGAAAGTGGAAAATGAACGTAGGAAACAAACAATAGTATGTAATTGTGAGGGTATATATAACAATGAAGCAAAAAAGAATAAAAACAAGCCTTCAAAAACTCATTGAACCAATTGTAACTGGCACATTAATCTTTCCCGACCTATTAAAAATAATCCAAATAAAACTATTTACGTCACTACACTACTCAATGAGCATTTTGGACACAATTTGGATCCTTTTTTAACTTGTTTTGAAATGAATAAGGCTTTTACAAAGCCTATGTTAGATGATATAGAGTGGATGTGTATTTATGGTCATTTGAAGCCATTGTCTATCAAGCGTATGTTGAAAGCTAAATACAATAGGAAGATTTACAATCAAGACCTCTATAAAGTCATCTATAAACATCGGAAAAATAATCCTCAATTAGGTAATAATGATGTTTCCCAGCTCTTTGTGTATCTTGAAACACTTAAAGAAAAAGACCCTCGTTGGATAATTTATAAAGACTGGGATCATGAAACAAACACATTAACTAGGATCTTTTGGATGAGTCCAGAACAATTGGAAACTTGGCATCACTATAGTGATGTAATCCTTAATGATAATACTGCAAAAACAAATCGGTATGAAATGGCTCTTTCCTTTTTTGTTGCAATTGATAACAACATGAAATCTCGGATTGTAGCACAAGCATTAATGGATAGAGAAACAAAAGATGCGTATGCTTGGGTACTTCAATGTACATTAGACGCTACAGGAATTACTCCAAAAGTTTTTATAACAGATGCTGACCCTGGAATGGATGCTGCTATTCTGCTAAAATATCCTTCAACTTTTCCAATACATTGCATTTGGCACATCAGCCAAAATTTACCATTACGGCTTAAATCTAAACTTGGTGAATTATTTGATCAGTTTAAAAAAGATTTTTATGAATGCCGAAATAGTTTAGTTGAAGAAATATTTGAACAAAAATGGTCAGATTTACTTGTCAAATATCCAAATACAGCTAGTTACCTTGAAAGAAGTCTTTATCCATCAAAGAAATCTTGGGCTTGTGCATTTAACAATAATATTTTTACAATCGATATACAAACAACATCACGCTGTGAATCAGTTAATGCTACTTTTAAAAGATTATTATTTAATTCAAATAGCACACTTATTGATATATTTCATGCAGTTCAAGAACGATTAGAAGAGGAAGAAGATAATAAAGAATATATTAATTGGAAAAGTTCTCTTCCATGTAATCAGTCCTCTACTATTGCTTCAAATGCTTTTACTAATATAATTGATGAACTTAAGTTGTTTGTTACTCCACAAATTCAAAAAGTACATTACAGTGAAATGGAAATGGCATTTAATTATGATGCAAGGGTATTAGATCAATCTTACATAAAAAATGAAACATCACAGGTCAGTATTATCAAATATATCTGATTAAAAAAATGCCTGAATCTTTAATTTAACATTGATTTTTAGGATTGGTCATTTGCTGATGGCTTTATTGAGAATCAGGAAATTCGACAAATTACTTTTCATCAGCTTTTATCAATGTGTAACCAATCCTCTATTAAAAATCTTTGGGGTGTTAATCATTTAATGTCATCTGGAATACACCATCTTGTTATTTTATTAAAAAATGGAATATATAAATGTTCCTGTATGTCTTTGGTAACTCGTGGGATTGTTTGTAGACATTATTTTAGTATAATGCTACGAACTTCACAGGCTCAGTTTCATATAGGATTTATCAATTCACGTTGGTTTATTACTACACATTTGAATGATATCAAAAATCGGCCACTTTATTCTGCTTCAAAATTTAATACTAATTTAGAAACTTCATTGTTAGAATCTAATAATTCTCTTGAATTCCTTGATGTAATAGATAATGTTTCAAGTAATTCAATTAGTACCCCATATGTTTCTTTCAATAAACAATGCCTATATTATGCTAATGTACATGGATTAGTTAAGCAAGCTAATCAGATTGCTTGCAAGACTTGTGATGAATCATTTATTGATTTACTTAAAGAATATATTAATAAAAAGAATAGTGAAGCTTTAACACTAGAACAATCCGATAATATGGAAAATCAAGATGAATTAGAAGTTGATCAGGAAACTACGCATCAAAATCAAATTGGAAATCCAATAATTAGGCGTCCTAAAGGAAGACCACCAGGAACTGCAAGATTCAAAGGACCTCTAGAAAATTCATCTCATTCTAATGAAATTATTGGTGGACGAACTCAGAATAAATGTGGATTATGCTATAATGTAGGACATAATCGCGCAACTTGTCCATCAAATCCTAATAGGAAGAAAAGAAAACAAAATTAAGGGCCAAAATTACTACTGTAATTCAAGCCGGCCTACAGGCCAGCTTGAATTACAGTAGTAATTTCGGCCCGGCTCCCTTCGGTCGCCGGAATGTATTACAATATTACAATAAATAATCTAAATATCTAATGTTATTAATGTTATTATTAATGTTATGTAATTCAAATATATATAGCGATAATATTATTACAGGGGCGCGTATAAAAAAATGTGCGCATTGCAAAGATTTTTTAATTTTTTATATTAATTTTTATACATGCGTAAAATTTTAAGTTTAATTAATATTAATAAATTTTTGTGCACCCTGAAATTTTACGCAGATGCGCAAAAAATAAAAACCGTTATTTTATTAGGTTCTTCTTATAATTTGAATTATATCAACAAAATTGAATAAGAATTTGGAACTCGCACTTGTTTATTGGTATGATTTTGCAGATTCAACTAATAATATACAACATAATCATTATTTTTATAAATCATGTGCAATTCTTAAACATGTTGAACATTATACTTTAATTCCTATTGCTTCAATTGCAAATATAGTACATATTATATCAAAATTTAATGAGGCAGAAGTTTTTTATGTAAATAAATATATTAAATATTGCTAGGTAATTGCTTAATTTTTAAATGCTTTTTTAATAATAAATCTAAATACTAAGTTAATATTTTATTTTACAGTAAAAAACAAGTATTAAATTAAAGTATTTTTTAAGCATTTTTTTAAATAGTAATTATAAAGTATTTATAATTAATATTTTATTTATATTATAATATAGTAATAAATAAATACTTGTTTAAATACAAATAAATACATATAAACTATTAATACTCGATAAATACTGATTTTTAATATTTATTAAATAATTGTGTTTAATAAATATAGGTTAAATGATTTCTTAACTTCGTGATGAAGCACAATAAGACTGTGTGTTAAAGCACAATGAGACTGCGCATTAATTGTTATTATTATATAAAAGTGAAGCACAATAAGATTGCACGTTAATTGTTTTATTATTACTATATAAATTATGTAATAAATCAAATAAATCATGTAAAAAAACCTGATATAGATAATTTACATAATGCTTTATTATTTTTTTTACAAAAAAAAAGTTAAATTTAGTAACAGTAATTGTGTGTAAGTTACCATATTTCCATATTTATTAGACAATAATGAAATTGCTACATTTGTTATACAATACAGACATAACTAACCATACATTACATACGTTGAAAATTATAATATACTATACATACAGTGTTAATTATACACTACATTATTACTGTATACCCTAATGAATCTGACGCCTTTTGATATAATTCAAATGCCTTTTTTTCATTTATATCAGTTCCAATCCCATATTTATAGCAAATTCCTAAATTATATAATCCACATGCACTTCCTAAATCTGCTGCCTTTTGATATAATTCAAATGCCTTTTTTTTATCTATATCAGTTGCAATCTTTTGTTGATAGTAATATATTAAAGACTCTATTCCATATACATTTCCTAAATCTGCTGACTTTTGATATAATTCAATTGCCTTTTTTAAATCTTTATCAGTTCCAATTCCATTTTGATAACAATCACCTAAATTATTTATTCCACATGCATCTCCTAAATCTGCTGCTTTTTGATATAATTCAAATGCCTTTTCCCGATCAAGATAAGTCCCAATTTCATTTTGATAACAATATGCTAAATTATTTATTCCATATGCATCTCCTAAATCTGCTGCCTTTTGATATAATTCAAATGCCTTTTCTTCATCAATATCAGTTCCTGTCCCATGTTGATAACAATATCCTAAATTATTTATTCCATATACATTTCCTAAATCTGATGACTTTTGATATAATTCAAATGCCTTTTTTTCATCAATATCAATTCCAATTCCATGTTGATAACAATATCCTAAATTATTTATTCCATATGCATTTTCTAAATCTGATGAGTTTTGATATAATTCAAATGCCTTATTTTTATCAACATTAATCTCAATTCCTAAGTAATTAAAATCTCCAAGTAAAACAATTGAATTTGAGTAATGTTGATTATTTAAAAGCCAAATATAAATTTCTTGTGAAGTCATATCATAATTATTAAAATAATCATAAATGTTTCGTCTATCCTTTCCTTCCTCTAGTGTCTTATTAAGAAGTTCAACCATTTCATCAACTATCGTTTTAAAGTAATAATCTGATGTCATTGAAGGTTCTATTTCTTCGATATTAATCTTGTTAAACTTTTGAATAATTTTAGATAATTCTCCATGTGGTAAATTCTTATCAAAATCTTCAAAAGCTTTCAAATTAAGTTGTTTACTTGATGATTGAACATTTGTATGAGAATCATTTGACTGAAAGTTCTTCATAATCATTGTATTTTTACTGTTATTTAAAATAATTGCATTTAATTTGGAGATAACCTGATTGATAGTTGGACGATTATCTGGTTCATTATTCCAACAATCTAAAAAAATAGATAGAATTAATTTAATTAACATTAATATAAACATAAAAGTAATTATTAATTACATTTACCAGTATAAATATTTGTATAATCTTCGGGTGTATCAAGAATGGGTGTCTCTCTAAGGCCTTGTGATATATCAATTGCTAAACAAACGTCATACGGTTTGCCTTCAGAATAAAAAGGAGGATTGCCACTAGATATCTCCCATAAAAGTACCCCAATACTATAAATATCACTTTTTTTATTTAATTTATAATCTTGATTACTAAAACTTTTTGGGTCAATATAAGGAATTTTTCCATATAAATTTGTAGATTGGAGGTTAGATGATTCTTCAATTCTTTTTGATAAACCAAAATCAGCCAATTTGATCATATTTTGATGAACTAACACATTTTTGGAATTCTATTTATTATTAATAAATAATATTAATATTGATTCAACAGACAGAATATAAAATAGTAAAGTGTAAACAAATGAATTACCAAATCATGGTGAATAATTCCTTCATCATGTAAGCATAATATAGCACAAGCCAACTGATTTGCCATATCAAATTTATTATTCCAGATAAGATTATCAAAACGTTCCTTCAAATATTCTTGAAGAGTACCACTGTCTGCGTATTCCATTACTAACCAATACTTTTTCGAATTATCATTTTGGTTTTCTTTAAAAAAAAAAAAAAAAAAAATTATTTAATTTAGATTATATCAGCAAATTATGTATAGTAAGAAAGTATGCTGCACCTATCGTAACTCCACAGAAATGAATAATATTATCATGAAAATCCACTTCACGCTGAATTTTAAACTAAATAGAATTTTTTAAATTAGAAAATATAAATCATAATGTAAAAAATATTATATTATTACCTCTTTAATAATTTCTTTAATTGTAGTATTGTTGAAACTAAAAAAAGATTTTAATGCCAAATAATTATGAGAACTCTTCCAATTTGCACGAAAAACTTTTCCAAACCCTCCAAAACCAATTTCTTGAAAATTACTAAAATAATTGAATTCATAACATTTAATGTAATCTTTTACAATAGCTTCTTCAATCCACTCATTATTTGAATTTTCGGTAAATTTTACAAGTGCATTAGATTCAGTGTTGTTAGACATTATTGAACTTCTTGACTTTTATTGGAGAAGTTAATATTTTTTTTTTTTATGCAATCCAAGTATGATTATTACCAAAACGTAATTGTGCATGTTGATCACTTCAGGTGATGTGATTTATACGGTTGCTAGACGCACGTGACCTCGTAACTGCGGCACTATTGTGAACTTTTGCTCAATATTTGGGCTATTAAATGTATTTCGTTTTATGTATAAACGATAAACTCACCGATCAATACTTGTTTTGACAACAAAATATTAATAAAAATATCTTTTTAAAAATAAAAATGAAAATCAGATACTTTAATACAATAATAATAAATTTGTATAGGGCAACATTTAAAAATCTTAGGAACATTTTAAGTTTTTCACACAATAAATAACAATTGTTTTTATTCCTTGGAAATCAAGAAAACCACTACGCATGGGTTGTTGTTAATGTGGCGCAGGCAGACTGCTGATTTGCGTTGTGATTTGTGAACTTTTGATGACTAAGACTCATGTTCATGAATTTATTTTACCATAGTATATGCTCGAATTTTTCTGGATATAAATGAAGTTTCTATGACACAACAAAAAATAGTTCAAGAGATATTTCTTTCTTCAATACATGATGGTATTCGATTAACAGCAAAGATTATCATACTATTGGAAGACCAAAGAATGGACAAGAATAAGAGGATAAAGCCATTATCATATCATATCCGTATGGTTGGACATGCTTATATCACCTTACCGATCATTTTCCGATCATTTAATTCTAGGGTTAACTTGTTGAAAAGCACAAATATTTCTAAAGTAATGAATAAAAATGAACTTTAACAAAAATCTTTTGGTTAATATTAAAAAATTGGGGAAAGAAGAATTGAGAAAACAAGAAGGGAATGATTGGGAAATTGGGATAATCATGAATATGATAGTGATGACGAATGGTTTATGGCGAGTTCGAGTAAGAAAAATTTGGTCGAAGAACGGATTTGTCAAGAATGCGAAGCGCCATTAGAAGAAGGACAAGAAAAATATTGTAATGTGGCAAAAAATAATGGAAATCCAAGTTAAAGCATTAAATTATTATATAATTTTAATTATGTGATTATTAGTATAATTTGATAATTCAGTCATTTTTCCCGATCATCAGTCAAAAATTGATATGTGAAGATGAATACGCATCTGCCAAACTTGAAACTTTTGCACAAATATTCTTTATATTGCATATAATGTATAGTAAAAATAATATGGATGATTCCAATATAATTAAGATTTTATTGTACAGTAGGCAATCGTGTATTGTGAAATTTGAGGCGATGATAATCCGAGAGTTATTATGCACAAGGAGATCGGAAACATATACAATCCGCCCTACCTCTATAGTCACCCTCTGTACAATCACATATATATACCCGCCATAAGCATACCCCATGAAAACCAATGTTTATAAACTCTGTGCAAAGACCCTTCTATAATAACAACGTCTTTACGGCAGTCACAAACTTTGGAACCAATATTTGTTGATAATATATAAAAATCCCTCTATCTAGTCACTTTTCATCGGTTTACAGTAAAATGTAAATATGTATGTATTTAAGCTTGTATTTTTAGCGCTTAAATAATGAAATGGCACATAATTAATGCATTTTCCTTCTTATCAACCTGCGTCATCTCAATTGTCTTTTTGGGACAATGCTTGTCCTCCTTTTCCTTTTTGGTTATACACTCTTTGATAGTATAATTTTTTCTACGATTTTTAGGTTATTTACGAAAGATTTAAAACAGTTTCCGTTTTTTCTAGTTTTATTTCTAAATTAAATTTTTTTCAATGAAAATTTTTTTATATATAGCCATTCTAATTGTAAGTACGGCACGAAGCTTTTATGATTATAAATATTATTGGTCACAAAATAATTATCGAATCTGAATAGTGTGGTTTGTAGCATGAAATTATTGAATATATATACTATGCTAGATGTCGAATTGACCACTATTTTGCAATCAATCTGACCTGGTCTGCGCTTGAAAATTAACCTAAAGTGCCCGGCCCAGCCTGGCCCAGACCAATTACTATATCAATTTTGTATAAAAACAAAAAAATCGGCCAACTTAATTTCGGCCAGTTTGATTTCGGCCAAAATTAAGGCGATTTTGGCCAGAATTATAAAAATCCGGGTTTAACAAAAAAATAATGTGCTGAGCCAGCAATATATAAATAGGTAACAAGAGATCGGCACAAATTTACTAATAGCTCTACGCATCTCTTCAGGGCCGGCACTATGTAATGCTGGTCAGAATTATCCAAAAAAGGAAATGATCTACATACTTTTGGGCTCATTCTACGCAAACTCTCTATTGTTACCTTTTCATGTATTGTTCGGGGTCCTGCTGAGCCCCGGTGAATTTTGAAAGAAAATTTGCCGGCCCAAACTCGGATCCGGGTCTGGGCTGGGTCAATACAGTCCCGCTAAGAAAATTATACAATGATGTATGAATATCAAAAGATCACTGCGTAATACATACCTGTTATTCCATGGATATCAATGAATAACATGAATAAATAAAATATTAACCGTTGCTTTATGGATTTTATACTTTTTTATACTTTTTTTATACCGGTAAAGTAATTTACAAAAAAATCCATCGGGGTATACATAATACCGATGGGATAAAATAATAAATCATAATCAGTTTCTAAATATCTTATGTGAATATATATAACACGAAACTAGATTATAAATTATTTATAATATGGCCAAGTAATATAATATGTCGTGGAAATACCGAAATATATATTACAAAAAATATGACCGTTAAGGCAATAATTAATGTATAATATACCTGGTTGAGGACATGATGAAGGGCCCGTAATGTTCAATCTAACAAATGCAAAGGTAATATTGGACATAAAAACAATTAATTATTAAATCAAATTTATAATATTTATTAATTTACCGTATATCACGGGCCCCTATGTATAGTATCCCCTCTTTTTTTCTGAAAAAAATCTTTATTTTCTTTTGATTATACTAGAGGTTGGAATCGATCAAAAAAATAATCTTAATCAATTAATAATCGATTACTAACCAGCTATCATAATTGAATAATAATCGAATAATAATTGATTAATTAATCAGTAAGGTTAATCGATTAATTAATCGATTAACATATAAATTTTGCGTTTAATTGGTTTATTTATTTTATTTATCTATTCTATCAATTTTAACCCACGCGGCCACGCCGTAATTTTTTTGATATTTATTCCCTGTAAAAAAAGTCAATCCGTTTTTTATATTCCATCTTTTTTCCGTAAAAGGCTCATATTTCCGGAATTTATCGAATTATTTACATTTTCCGTGAACGGATCCATGAAAGGCTAATTTTTACGGAGTTTTTACAGAAATAACGGATAAAATTTTTTATAGGGATTGCGTTGTATATTTTATTTATATAAATGCTTAATTACAGAATTTATAGTGTTAAAAAAAATAAATAAATAAAGTAAAATATGGAAATCTTGTATAATACTTAACAAAAAAATAAATTAGTTTACTATAAGAGAACGCTTCAATTATGTAATTAGGATATTACCTTATTAGCAGCGTGAACATATCAATATATTTTGAATTTTTTTTTTTTAATAAAAAGAATTTCTTGAAATCTTTTGGACCAAGGGCGTGTTTGTTTATTTGTCATGCTATTTCCAAGCATCTGAAAATAAAGCGCTAACTTCACCCATATTAAAATGGGATCTCAATATCGATAATTACCATACATTAATTACCATATATATATTAATTGTTAGTTTCCTTTGTATATCAGTAGAGGTTAGAATCAGTTATTGTTTAAAACTGAATATTGATTTAAACCGATTGGTTGGTTGAACCCATAATTTATTTTGTTGTAATCGTCTAATCGACCAATGATCAAATGGTGTTCACTAACCATAATTTATTATTATTTTTCATTTATTATAATATTTTGTATTGGATAATACTGCTGATGAATATTAAATTAAGAATATCACCATTAAAAACGATTTACAAATATAATAAATTTACCTTAATTAGTAATATAAATTATCCAAATCAATCTTCAACTGGTTAATCCGTTTATATTAATATTCGATTTTAAATGATAACCGGTTTATCGCTAAACTCTAATAAATGATATCTAAATGGCATGAAAATTCATATCATTTAAAGAAAATGTCATTTAAATGACAAAATGACATATATATGTCATTTTTAAGCGACAATGACAATAACAATTGTCATTAACAATTAATAAATTAATTTTGTACCGCATTACATAATTTAATTTGTTGATCGAAACTCAAAAAAGCATATTGATAATATCCCGAAAATAGCTTGACAATCATACAATGTCTATTTAAATTTGGGAAATTTAGGAGATATGCGACACAAATTTATTATGATCTCTTTCTTTTGCACTTCATATTCTCAATTTTTAAAGCATATTTCGTATTTCAGTATATACAAGTTGATAGTTTGTAATAATTAATATGGGCAAAGAAAAGCACAATTTTTGTGAATTTTTCTTATGTGACCTAGAGCCAATAAAAAAGTAGTATGTTTTTCATCATATAAAAAAATGAGAGAATTTTGCATCTGAATATCACGAGAGTGAAAGGCAAGAAATTTTGTCACGTAAAGCACCTGAGAACAAAAAAAAAAAAAATAATAAATAAATAAACAAATAGTAGATAATGAAAAGAGTATAGAAACTGCTAAATCGACCAACACTACATCATCTACCTCTCCTGTTATTAAACATGCCCATTGTCTAAAAAAGATAATCATAAATGACGCTATATGATTATTAAATAATTAATAATTTGACCAGCATCACAGATCACATGATATAATTTCAAATGACAAATATCGCATTTGTGTCATTTCATATCACCGCTAATATTTATATAATTTCTGTGATTATTCTTTTTTAAGGCGACTTAGATGATCGTCTTTGTGCACACATCAGGAAATTATTTCCACCAAAAATCTGTGGAAATATGTGGAAATCCGAATAATTCCAAGTACCCTGTGACAAAACACGTGGTATTTTCGGTGTAGATCCACAAAATTCGCGTAGGATATTTGGGAATTCCACATATTTCCGAACTAATCCATGTGGAATTACATATATCGATCTACCTAAAAATTTCATGATGCAAGGGATTGCTACAATCCCATAAATTCCTCGTGAAACATCATGTTTACGTGGGAAAAACTTGTTTATCGTGCTTATTGGGTTCTTATCATGTTCATCATGTTTGTCATGTATAAAAAACTAATAAAAATCGATATAAATATTTCAAAAAAAAAGAATAATAATTATTGACTCACGTAATTTTCCCTAATAGGCGTTATCCCTTTCGGTAATTAGTAGCGACCCCTTGAAATTTTAAAGTTTAATGTGAGTGTGATTACGATTTTTTTATATTTTCCTAAATTCCTTAAAAATAGCTGTTTATTAATGAGCATAAAATTGTAGTTGTCATAACTATCCCTGTAAAAAAGTTAATCCGTTTTTTATATTCCATCTTTTTTCCGTAAAAGGCTCATATCTCCGGAATTAATAACTTTATATTACGCAATTTATCAAATTATTCACAATTTTTTTCCGTGAATGGATCCGTGAAAGGCTCATTTTTATGGAGTTTTTACAGAAATAACGGATAAAATTCTTTTATAGGGCTAGTATAATTCCTAGTCATTCACGAAAGTCCTCGCTCAATTAATTTCATTTGTAATTTTCGAAAAGTTAATAAGATGCGTGCTATTGTAACATTTTTCCAACGCTATCAGTAAAAAGTTTTTACAAACTCATTAACGGTTTAACGGTTTTACTATCCATTTTTCGCAATTTTTTTTTGCTGCGGAATAATACATGTAAAAGGGTTTTGCGCGTTGCCGAATTTTCCCGTGATCAGCATAAAAATAAAATTTGGGGAGTACAAGAAATGATTTTCAGGGGTAATTTAAAATGACGTTCCATTCTTAGTACAAAATTAAATTATAATTTTAAATTTCCTAAAATAGATAATGACAGGGGTGGATCCCAAATTAAGTGTCATTTATAACTTTGCCCCTTAAAACAAAGATCGTGTTACGTTCCAACAATTAAATACGGTACATTTTTACTTTTCTTGTTTGGATCGTCCTCTTAAAAATTTTCTTAACATAATATTATCAAAATGCAAGACGCAAATAATGTAAATAGTTGGGCTAATTGGGTTGAAGAAGCTATTTCAAAAAATCGTATTAAATATTATGAATATAATCATTTTTGTAATATCAAAGAAATTGGTACTGGAAGTTTTGGAAGAGTCTTACAAGCAAATTGGAAAAATACTCAAAAACATTTAGCGTTAAAATCTTTAGCTAATGTCAACCAAACCATAATTAAGGAAATCGTTGATGAGGTAATTAATATAAATTTATATTATATATAATTTATAATATAATAATTTAATTTTTTAAAACGTAATGGTTTAGCTTAAATTACATCGTGAAGCGGATTTCTATAAGAATGTTATTCATTTTTATGGAATTACTTCTTATAATAAAGGTATAATATAGTCTTATAATTGAAATATTTAATTTTAATTTAAACTTAATAAATTCTTAGTAACATTTTTTTGATAAGAAAATCAAAATGATAATTCGGAGGTTTACTTGTTGGTAATGGAATATACCGATTCGAAAGAAAATTATAATAGTCTCACTTGGAATCGTAAATTTGATTTAGCATCTCAATTATCATGCTTAAATGAAAAAGAAACTATGCACCGTAATTTGGTAATTATTATCTGATTTTTATGAATATAATACGTATCACAGAAAATTATTATTATAATTTATGTTATCTTATTTATTATATTTAAAATAATAGCATTCCAAAAATGGATTAGTCCATCAAAACACAATCAAGTTGACCGATTTTGGTTTTGAAAAAAGGGTTGCATATGATGATCCAAAAAAATTCAATTTGAAAAAATTTACTTTAAACGAAAAAAATGATATTTATAATACTGGCGTGCTTCTCTGGGAGATATCAAGTGATCGACCACCTTCTAAAGGGAAATCAACTTCGAATTTAATTGCGCATATACAAAAAGGTTTTAGAGAAACACCTATTCCTGATACACCTACCGTTTATGTTGATCTTTTTACTAGTAAGTATGATTTCAAATTCTTGATTTCGATATAATTTTTTAATATAGAAAAATCACAACTTTTTTTTATTTTTAGAATGTTGGAACAAAGAGCCAGATAATCGGCCTAGTATTTATCAAGTGGTTTCTAAATTAAAAGATTTAAAAAATAAACAAATTAACAATAATTTTCGCGTAATGGTTGATGAGATAGTTAACCTTTCTAATAAGATAGAAGATAATGTTGATGAAGAAGAGAAGCAGAATATTCTTAATTATTTAAATAACCATAATGTGACTTCACAAGAAATTTATAATTGGTCATTAGATAATCAAACTCATTCAAATTCTATTGTTTTACTTGGAGATTTTAATTATTTAGGAATTGCGATTAGTGTCAATAAAAATAAAGCATTTGAATTATATCAAAATGCAACAAATTTAGGAAATATTATAGCTCATTATAATCTTGGTTGTTGTTATAAATATGGAAATGGTGTTGATAAGGATCATAATAAAGCATTTAATATATTTAAAAAATCTGCTGAAAAAGTATATTCAAAAGGGGTAAATTATTTAGGATATTGTTATAAATATGGTCTTGGAACTAGTGTTAATAAAAAGAAAGCATTCGAATTATATCAAAAGGCAGCAAATTTAGGAAATACATTTGGAATAGTTAATTTAGCAAATTGTTATTTCAATGGAATCGGAACTAATGCTGATGATGAAATGGCATTTAAATTGCATCAAAAGGCAGCAAATTTAGGAAATACGTATGGAATGATAAATTTAGGATCATGTTATAAAACTGGAATTGGAATCAATGTTGACAAGAATAAAGCATTTGAATTATTTCAGAAGGCAGCAAATTTAGGTAATATAAATGGAATAATTAATTTAGGAAATTGTTATCGACATGGAATTGGAATCAGTGTTGACGAGGAAAAGGCGTTTGAATTATATCAAAAAGCCGCCGACTTAGGAAATACATTTGGAATAATTAATTTAGGGGTTTGTTATCAAAATGGAATTGGTACTAGTATTGATACGCAAAAGGCGTTTGAATTATATCAAAAAGCAGCAAACTTAGATGATGTAGATGGGATAAATTATTTAGGTTATTGTTATCGAAATGGAGTTGGAACTGATGTTGACAAACAAAAGGCATTTGAGTTACATCAAAAGGCTGTAAATCTTGGAAATTGGGAATTTCAATAAACTTGTAGATATTTTGAATTATATATATAATAATTTTTCGGAGCGAAGTATATATCATAATCGTAGGTTTATTGATCAAACATTTATTTATTTGTTGTTAATTATTCACCTTTTCTTCCTTTGAAAATATAGATTTAAATTTTTTTTGTATTTCAAAATTTTTAATTTTATCTGTACTTTTCTGTTACATTTGTACATTTCTGTAAGAAACTCTACGAATCTGTTACATAATCGAAGAGCTCAAGCTGAGTAATACGCTGATAATACATAATATCGCTTTAATTTTTAGTGTAATAATATTAACCGCGAGATAAATATGTACTTTATTTAATTTATGATATAAATAAAATTAAAACATTTTCAAATTATATTCCTGGTATAAGATACATATTAATTTCACGCTTTCCTATGTTACATTTTTTTGACTCTTTTATTTTACGCGGTACGCAGAAAACAAATGAATAATTATCATTTTCTATATACAAATAAGTTAAAAATGACGGAATAGGATAAGATACAGTTTATCCGATTAAATTAAGGATTATGATAAAATTTTGTTAAATTGAAACTTTATTCTGGAAGAACCTCTTCGTGTGTGATTTGATAATTTGCTGAATCCCATCCAATTCAAATACGTTCATCCCATCCAAATCCTATGAAATATTTGTAAATAAATATAAAGTTTCAAGTTTTTAATATCATGATATTATATATTGTGAATATTTATTCTTAAATAAATTTTAAAAATTTCATTGATTTTTCAAAAAAAAAAAATTCTTATTCCGGGCGTGATGCATTAATTCGGTCAAATTTTAATTTCGGCTCAGACCCTCTAAGTCTCTAACGATGGCCGGCTATATTCGATATTTGTAAGGAATTTAAAAGTTATTAAAATCAATTTGTGACCAACACTCTAGCACAATATGTTAGCATAATCAAAATGAATCATTTAAAAATTCTCTCTTGAATTATTATTGTCTGAATAGAACAGAGGACATTCACACTAACATTCACGTTCAACATGGAAACTTGGGTGTGACTCCATGACGTGTAAACGTGTGATGAAATTTTGATTATCGCTCATGCGATTCAACTTTAGCCGCAATAGATAATGTCGATAATGTATGAAGCCTATCGATATTATCGATATTAATTCACTGATATAAATAAAATTATAAAACGCGTATTAGAAATGACTAGTAAAAATCTTATATATTACGCCAATCATGATAGTGAAGAAATTATTTCATAGGAAATTGCTCAGATATTATTGAATTTCTTACATTGGAGACACGTTAAGAATGATCATGATATTAAGAATGATAACGGTGATCATTTAATTTCCGGAGGAAAATATATTTTCTCAAAAGAAGAATATAGTAAATGGGTTAAATCTTTAAAGAATCGAAATAATGATCCAGAATTCCTTAAAGATCACGATATAATAATTACTACATATGCTATTCTTGCACAATCAGATATAAAAGAAAAAAGTGGATCTGAAAAAATAGGAATAAATACTAAAAAAACTGATAAAAAAGGAATTTTTGAAGGAGGAATATTATACTTAGATCAATGTTTAGATGCATCACAAACAAAATAATGCCCTATAAAAAACTTTATCCGTTATTTCTGTAAAAACTCCGTAAAAATGAGCCTTTCACGGATCTATTCACGGGAGATGTAAATAATTCGATAAATTCCATGATATAAGGTTATTAATTCCGAAATATGAGGGAATACAAAAAACGGATCGACTTTTTTTACAGGGATGAAATGGAAACATATATGTATTTAAATATCAAAGGAAAGGTACAGAAGTGGTATAATTGAAAGAGTTACAGTTAAAGATGATTCTAAATATCCAAAACAAAAATACATTAATATTAATAAAAATTGGAGTAATAGATGTAAGTTTAATTTATATGAAGAAGAGAAGATCGGAAAAAATTTTTTAATGACATGAAAAATCAAACGTTATATACGAAATTTAAAAAGAAATCAAATAGTGTAGATTTAAAAATATTGATCTACATTTAATTCCATTAAACGATATAAATATGGGCAACTCGCCAAATCTGATTTTATGTAAAGGTTGCGATAAAAATATTAATTGAAAAAAGATAAGGATGAATTATACATAATGGTAAAGATAGTAGAAAAATTGAATACAGAAAGATAACTTTAATAATATTAAGTATATAAAAATTTTATAGTTGAATTTAAATATATCAAGACAATTATGAATACAAGCGACTATGTACTGTACAGTACATAATATGATAGTGAATATTAAAGAAACAGCAGCAAATTGAAAGAAATACCAATAGTATCGATAATGACCGGTAATGAATATTAATGAAAAGGAAGTTTATGGGATTGTCTTAGTAATTTATATACGAAGGAAGAAATATTTATACAAACGTTAATAGATATGGAAGATAAATACTCGTGAATTATTAATGTTTCTTAAAGAATAATCAAATATATTGATTAAAAATAAAGCACAAAGAAGATGAGAGAATTAACTCGTGGCCTATTTAATAATAAAATCTTTAAAATAGCGTGAAGTAAAGAAGAAATTAGTGTGTTAGAAAAATATGGGAACAGGCATATCCAGATTAGAAATAAACGTGATAAAATGCGTAAAATAATAAAAAATTTTTTGAATAATCAGGAAAATTCATATGAATGTACAGTATATGGGATTAACTTAGTTTTATATAAAAGATACAATTTAGATTAGTTATATTGATATTTAGTAGACAGAGAAATTATTATTAAAGTTTAATAGTTAAATTTTCCATAAACTATGGAGTTAGTTATAGTGTATCTTTGTATACTACTATTATTTCTATTTTTTTTCTGTGTTAATCATTACGTTAAATATAATAAAGAAATGCGTTACTAACAAAAAAAGTAAATATATAAATAAAAATAAAACTATTAAACGCGTAAACCAACTATTAAAACAATGACCTTAAAGGCTTCTCAAATGTATTTGTACCAGATCCTTATTATAATTCTATAGACGAATAGAAAGATACTGTAAAGTTACAAAAAAAAAACGCGTCAATCTTAAAGATACTTCAAATGTATTAGCATTAGATTCTGATTATTCTCTAGACGAAGAGGAATACACTGTTAAAGCTAAGAAAATTCGCAAACTAGTTATTAATAAAACTTCAAGTAATGCTTCTATAAAGCCTCTTTTAGTATGACTAGGCAAAGTCACATTCTTTGACAAACGAGACTATGCCGAGTGGAGCTTCGTGATAAACAAGAAAAATGGCTGAAAACACAATTTGAACATATTTTGTTTAAATCCTAATGTCAGATCAAACGAAAATGACTCGGGATAAACGAACAATGTTCCACAAATAACTTAATTACGTCCTAAGGCTTATATAAAATATTAAATGAAGTTTTGATGAATTCTGCTAACAATAAAAATTCGTAATCCTTCTATGGAATTGATCGGTAGCTAGCTCTTAATCATTATCCAGATAATAAATAATGTAAAAATACAATATATAACGATAAAGCAAATTCTTGTACGAAACGATATACTTATCGTGTTATGTATAATAATAAGATCAAGATCATAATGGAAGTCATGAAGATTATTTCTTTCAATCATTACTTGGAGTTTTGCTTGTTAAAATTCACAATTCCTTTTGTAAATGTACAAGAAGCAAACGTTGTTCTAGAATTAGTGAGTTTGCTGAAAAATAACGATAATGAAAGGTTAGATAATACGAAGATCTTACGAGTACTCTTGAAGAAGATAAAGAATAAAGAATAATTTACATTGCGGCGGATTTATGAAATTTGGCAAAAACCCTGCTGCGGCCTCGAGAATTAAGCCTTTAACACTAGAAAAATTGGTTAGACAATAAGAAAATTGGTTAGACGTAAGATTTGGGGTACAAAAAAATTTTTTAGAACTCATTTTTGACTGTACACCAATAAATTTGGAACTTAAATTGACTAAAACACTGTCAAATATTTATTTAATTTGACATGACGGACAAATTTTGGGGTATTTCATAAATCGGCCATAGTGAAAGATCTAAAAATCAATAGAATTAATATAATTAATATTTTACATAGTTAAATAGAAATTGTCAAACATTATTTAAACGTCCGTCGGAAGCGATTATTTGTAAAACATTCTTACTACTAGGAGGCCATTTTTGACGAACCACCGACTAAAAAAAATAAATTTTTGATACGCACGTAACATTAAAATAAAAAATGTATAATAAAAGATAATATTTATTTTATTTATTTCAAATTCATAAAATTGAAATCACTAATTAACAAAAAAACACTAGTATAAACTAATATAGGTGAAAGCGTGCTAATTATTGATATTCATAATAACTCGAAATCTGTAATTTTAAATTTCTTTATAACACCTAATTTGGTATATTTTTCAATTATTTTCATATTTTCATGATTTGTATCTAAACTATCATCTTCTTCACATTTAACAATTTCCAAAGAGAGTGACTTTTGTGGCATACGACTCATCCATTTTATAAAAAAAGACTCTAATTCTACTGGAAGTAATTCTGCTGATTGTATACAATCCTGATGATATAATACTAATTCAGAAATATTCTCATGTGAATATTTTACAACCATATCCAATGCTTCTTTTTCATTCAAATATTCACTTCCACACCAAATTTTAATTTTTTCTATATATCTGCAACTATTTAAAATCATTTTTAAAGTTTCCAATTCATCATTTTTAACTCCAGTAGAAAGTTTTCTCAAGTTTGGACAAAATTTAGCGATAGCTAAATTTAATGAATTATCACTATTACCTCTAATATCACACATACTTAATTCTTTTAAATTCTTTCCGTTATTTTCTATAAATTTTACTAAATATTCATATCTTGGACATTCATGTCGAATTTTTAGAATTTGTAATTGCGGGAAAATAATGTATTGTAACTTTTCAAATTCCAAAAAACATTTACTATATTCAAATGATAATTGAAGTTCTCGTAAATTTGTAAAATTGGCAATAAATGATAATGAAATATTACGCATTCCTCCATAAATATCTAATTTCATTAAATTTTTAGGAAGTTTTGTCATCAATGATGGAATTAAATTATTAAGAACGTTATCTGTTAGATCATAATTTAAAGTCATGTAAAAGGATTTCAAATTTTTTTGAAAAGAAATTAATTCTGTAATTCCATTTGAAATATTGTTTTCAATCTTTATATCTATTAATGATATATTATGACATATTTGTGATAATTGATAAAAAAAATTGGAGGAAATATTAGAACTACAATGTAATTCTGTGAGATTTTTTAAACAATCTTTTGATCCAGGATAAAGAATGAAATTTATATTTGAATTTTGTAAAAATTCTAATCTTTTTAAAGAAGAGATTTGTTTCATGAACATTTTAAATATTTCTTGAATAACTAAATGTGTTTTATTGTATATATTATAATATGAAATATTTTGTTGATTTTTAATAAGTTCATTAATTTTATAATAAACTTCATTAACTGATAGAATTTTAAAATAGGTTGCATAATTAAAAGTGGGAAATTTTGAAGTTGGGGTTGAAATAATAATTCCATTATCATCCAAAATTTTTTTTGATTCTTCTGGAAGACATGCAATTAAAGTACTAAAATTCGATGTATTAACATTTCTCCATAAAATTCTCACTGAAATTTGGCACCAAAGGCGATTAACTAATAAGCATGAATACAAAGTAATTTTGTCATCATTTAAACATTCAAAAATCTCGTTTAAGCAATCAGCAGGAAGGTGCGACATTTTTTTAAATGAATAAAAATAAAGTGAGGTAGTGAGGTGCTAGTGTGCTACCCTATTTATTTCATTTTGCCTGTGTTACAAACATAAAAGTGACCCTGAAACAATGTTACATATAAAGTAGTATGATCGTGCAATCAGTAGATCTTTTCTTTTTTATGGATATCGTCGGTTTTACCATTATTGTAATTCCGGTTCTGGAAACTAAATTGTGCAAAACTATATTTGTGCTTACTAATATTTTCATTCAATTAGAAAGAGTTTGTATTGTTGAAATTTTCAAACAGAATAATGAGATGTACCATTTGCATTCCGGTCAAATGCTTATGTAATGCGTAGAAAAATATTATTTCATAATTAAACTACAAATATATACTGTACCTGCTGATTTGTGCGTTTTTAGTTAAAGAACTTTAATTAAAAGAATTTCAATACATTAAAACCTGCTAATGGATTAGATAAAACTTACATTGGAAACAAAAATAGGACGATTGAACCAGTGTTAAATTCGAAAACAAAACGTATAAATAAATTTACATAATACAAATTAATATTTTAGCAACAAATTTCCAAGCTTAAATTAGTTGCGAGTAGTGCTTCGAAAGGGTCCGGGTGATCGACCTGACCCGAATTATAATCGAGCTGGGATTGATCATTTTACACACTTGAGAAATTTCATTGTCGGGTTGTCGGGTAGCCATATAAATAGCACGTGACGTCGTGACGAGTATAATAGTAAATAGTAGTATATCAGATTATAAATAAAAGTTAATAAATTATTTTTTTTTACAACCGGCTCGACAACCTGACAATCAAATTTCTCAAGTGTCCGGTATATTTTGAATTTTGCTGTAATGACTTGTAACCTGTATGACTAAACCCATTGGTGACCTGGATGATGTATTTTTTTCCAACGGTAATGGGAAAGTTTTTTTTTATTGTTATTAGTGTTATACTCGTAAGAACTTTACTAAGCTGAACCAACATCTCAACTTGGGAAATGAAAAGTTTTGTGTAGTAAGCTTTTTATTAAAAATCTCTTCAAGGAGAAAGATCTCTCACTAGAACATAAAGATGTAAATATGCATCGTTTAGGTGCCTTAGCTTAAAATAATTTTTAATTAAAATATACATTTAATATTGACTATTTATATTGTTAATTATTATTTCATAATTCCTTTTTAAACCTGTAAAGGTAAAAAGACTTGGTTACAAAAAATTGGTAAATAGTGACTCCAATATGACCAATCTTTGGCGTCATTTAAAGAAAGAATAAATATGTATCTCACCCTCTGTATGATTCTTAAATCTTGTATTATTTTGTAACAAATTTGTAAAATAATATACAAACTTTTTTAAAAGATGTACAGTATGTGTATTTTGCCTGCTCTGCAAGTTTACTTAAAGCATCAAATATCATTTTGAATGTCATTTTTGACATTTGACAATTTTTTTTCGGTTTTTTTTAAAATCACATGACGTATTTAATTCTGGCCAGAATTAAATGATCGGCATAAAAAATTCTTTTTTGGAATGCGAGATTTAAGCATCCACCCCAGCCAAATGATCGGCATAGTTTCTAAGCTAAGTGGGCGTGCACTACATCCTAGCTTATAAACTGCCCATGGGCCAGATTAGCCCACGAGATCTGATTGGTCCAAACAACATACCAACATTTAATTACAAATAAGGCAATTTTATAACTTTTGACCGGATATTTACTTATAAACTCATAGTCAAGGATTGCATTAATGTACATTTTGTACCACCTTGTAACTATAAAAAAGGCAAAAATTTTTTTAAGGTTACACATTAATTTGGCCAGAATTAAGATAATTTCGCCCAGCAAAATTTGGCCGGAATTATAAAACGGACATAAATGTCCGTTTGCAAATTTGGCCAGCATTATGAATGTAAATATTTTAACTAATTATTCAGTAATCATAAATAAATAAATTATATTTTGTTGTCTTTGTCTCATCAAAATATGCTAAATAGTGGAATTTCTATTATCAATAAATAAAAGTTATTAGCATTTATAAATATTTAAAAATATAAAAAATTATTTCAAGAAAATGTTAATATTTTATTATTTATTTATTAATCCTAAAGGTATAAAACTGCTACCATTTAAAATATCTCAAAAAAACAATCCAACAAGCTATATATATTTTATCTTTCTATTTGTAATTACTTGATTTCAAGCTAAAGCAATTTAGCTTTTAGCAATTTAATGTAAATATTTAATCAGATAATAGACATTTGTTTTTTTTTAAATCAGAATACTAGATATTGTTTTATTATTTATTTAATATATACAGTGGCGGTCAAAAGTAATGCATCACCGAAATGAAAAATGTAAAATGGTGATCTTTCGTAACACAGTGGTCATGGAGGTACAAATTCTAATTTAATAAATTCGGCATACTTTATTTTATCAATCTCGTCCATCTTTTTTTCAATTGACTTAAAAATCCACTCGCCATATGTAAAAATTCTTAAAACACGCGATCCTTTTCTTTTGACCATTTACTAAAATAACCTTCTTCAATAATAAACAATTTTTTTTCACGCTTCAAAACAACAATGAAAAAGTATAAAAAGGTGCCAGCATATCATTTCCTTTTTTAATTTTATAAACTAACTATGGTTTATTTATCTATCGAAAAAAGGTCTAGGATTTGTGCTCTTCTTGAAGAAGGTTATCCTTCCCGGTATGTAGCGGATAAAGAAAAAATTTCACAATCAACTGTTATAAGAATCAAGAAGCGTAAAGATGCTACTAGAACCTTTAAAGATAAACCTAAATCTGGACGTCCAAGACTCTTAACAGGCCAAAATGAGCGAAAAGTTTTGCGGTATATTACAACAGGGGTGTGTACTAATGCAGTAGCTATTAAAAAAAAATTAAAAATTGAAGAGCAGATAGGAGTCAGTGAAAGTACAGTGAAAAGGACCTTACATCGAAATGGATTAGGTGCAAGAGTCAAACGCTGTCACCCACGTCTGCCACCCGTGGATAAACACATCTTTCTCATTACAACTTTATTTCTCGTTATTCTGCTTGGTTTAGATTTTATTTTTCTCTTAACTTCTCGCTTTCTTTCTCATATATTCGTAATATTTATTCTTTCAAATACTACCACTCATTCATAATATTCCCAAAATATTATTCTTTATGTAATATTTATTCTTTCAAATATTACCACTTTATTTATTATAAACTGCGAGAGTTCTACTAACTTCTTATTTCATACAATGAAAAGAGAATAACTTCCTTTTCTTTACTTTTCTGGACTTAATAATATAATATTAATTAATTCTCAAGCGTACAATAAGCATATTCAAGATAACTTTTAATAATTAATATTTGTTTTATTAAATTTGAGTCAAAAACTGACTGCGGAATTCCTAACGAATCCCACCTATATTTATACATTTTTAAGAAAATTATTTCTACTATTTCTAACTTTTCTACTAATAAAAATTTAAGAAAAATAAGAAAATAAAGATATATTATCATATGACTATCTCATGACTAAACTAAACTAAACTATAAATATTATTTTATCAGTTAATTATTTATCCTTCGGCTAATTATTTATACATCAGTTAATTATTTATCCTTGTTCCATTAGGTCTTTTATTCATCCACTCACGTGATTATCCTGATTTCTCGGGTTACAGCTATCCCCCCAAGAAAAATTTGAGTCCCATCAAATTCTAATTATAACTTTGAAACTTGACCTGTAAATATATTCCTTCAATAATTCTCCATTTATTGGCATTTTCTGTATTCTTCCCTCCATAGTTTTAATTTTATAAGATCCTTTAGAAATTATTTCATGTATATAATACGGTCCTTTCCATTTTTCTTCTAGTTTTCCAGACCATTGTTTTTCTTTAGCTACATCATAATATAGTACTTTATACCCTATTTGAAAATTCTTTTTCGTCTTATATTTCTTATCATGATATTTCTTCTGTTTTTCTTGAGATTTCTCTATATTTTCTTTAGCTTGGCTTCTAATGTTTGGTAGATCTTCCATTAAACTATTAACTCTTTGTGTTATCGTAACATTTTCATCTTCTAAATTTAATAATGTCTTCATTTCCCTTCCATATATTAGATATCCTGGTTTTAACTTGGTCGAATCATTCTTCTTTGTTCTATATGCAAATAAAACTCCTGGTACTTTCACAGGTCGAAGGGGCACCATTGTCCAAAATTCAAAAAATGCTAATTCCACATTTTTCTGGAAAATGGTGGGAAATTGTGGAAAATGCTGCATTATGCTGAGCAATTTTTTGGAATAGCATTGTTACAACATTGTCCGATTTAGCAAATTTTATGAAAATTTGGGAAAATGCTACATTATATCTCAAATGTAACATTTTGTAACATTTCGTAACATTGTTATAACATTGTCATTAAAATCAAATTTTGCTTTTTTTTTGTCAAATGTTCCAATTTTCTTGCAAATGGTGCATTTTTATGAAAATTCCACATTTTAT